CTGAGCCCGAGCGCCGCGCCCGCCGGCCCGGCCCGCCGCCGCCTGCTGGACGTGGCCGTGTGCGCCGACCGCGCCTTCGCCGTGTACGCCGTCACCAAGTTCCTGATGGCGCTGGGGCTCTTCGTGCCCGCCATCCTGCTGGTGAACTACGCCAAGGACGCGGGCGTGCCCGACGCGGACGCCGCCTTCCTGCTCTCCATCGTGGGCTTCGTGGACATCGTGGCGCGGCCGGCGTGCGGGGCCCTGGCCGGCCTGGCGCGCCTGCGGCCGCACGTGGCCGACCTGTTCAGCCTGGCCCTGCTGGCCAACGGGCTCACCGACCTGAGCAGCGCGCGCGCGCGCTCCTACGGCGCCCTGGTCGCCTTCTGCGTGGCGTTCGGCCTCTCCTACGGCATGGTGGGGGCGCTGCAGTTCGAGGTGCTCATGGCGGCCGTGGGCGCGCCCCGCTTCCCCAGCGCGCTGGGCCTGGTGCTGCTCATCGAGGCCGTGGCTGTCCTCATCGGACCGCCTTCTGCGGGTGCGCCCTTCAGGAGGGGGTGGCGCCGCCGAGGGCCCCTGAGCCCGCAGGAAGCCCCCTGCCTGTAAAATGGAACTTAGAGGGATGACCCGTCAGAGGAGACAGCCTGGTGGGTGGGCTCCCCTCCCCGTGGCTTACTAGCCCTCCTCCAAGCCGGCACCACCAGCTCTGGGTGGGGACGGAAAAGTACCAGGAAGCACCAACATTGGTAGCCGCCGGCTCACCGGGTCATCTCCGGCAGCGGGCACAGAGAACAAATGCGCATTCTCCTTCTGTCGCTGGGGAAACGGAGGCACAGAGGCCTAGTACCAGCTTCAGTCCCAGAATTACAGTGCAGCCCTGCCCGGCACTAAATGCCTGGCCTTTGAAACACTTGCTCTGAGTGCTTTAGTGGCCCAGCCCCTGAGTGACTGGAACAGGGGCCGTGTCTTTGGAGAACCAGTCCTGGGGCCAGGAGCGGAGTGGGGGTGCTCAGGGTGCTCACGTGGAGAAGGAGGGGCGCCGGGTTCTTCCCCTGTGCACACTGCCTGCTGGGCACTCGACACTCATCACCTTTTAGGAAATCGTCCTGAGGAGGTGGTCCAGGAGGGCTTCCTGCAGGCGCTGGCATGAAGGCAGCCCCACAAGGCAGGGCAGACCCCACAGAGGGCACAGGGTAGACTCGCAGGGGGCAGTGTTCCTGCACGAGGAAGGCAGGAGCTAGGGCCGGGAAGGTGTGAGAAGGACATTCGTATCTTCCTGGGTGGTTGGGTGACCCCTAAACAGCAGGAAGCCTGGCTGTGAGGCGGAGGGAGCTGTCAGCTGCAGGAAGGGACCCATGGCAGGGAGAGGTCGCCTTTGCTGGCGCCCAGCGTGCACTGAGATGGGGTGAGCTGCCCATGCTTCCAGGGCTGGGCTAGCTGAGTGCCCTCAGCAAGACTGGTCACCTCACCTGACCCAGTGGGAACCGCAAAGCCTTTGAAACCATGTATGGAGGACCCCAAGCTTACTACCAAAGGCCAAAAAACCAGCCCTCCCCCCTCAACCAGGCTTAGAGAACCAGCTGCCATTTTCCTGTGTAGTTCCTAACCCTAACCCTAATCCTAAACTATAACATAGCCCTAAACCATAACCCTAACCCTAAGCCACAACCCTAACCCTAAGCCATAACCCTAATCCTAAGCTATAACCCTAACCCTAAACCATAACTCTAACCCAAGCCATAACTCTAACCCTAACCTTTAACCATAACCATACCATAACCTAATAGGCAGAGAAGTCACGTGGGCTGTGTATGGGTGGGACAGGGACCAGGAAGACAAGTTTGGTGGAGTACTGCTCAGAGGGACTCAGAGGGGCTCAGGGGGCTCAGGGGGCACAGCTGGCTCAGGGGTCACTGGGGCACTTGCAAGGTCACAGAGATGCAGACCCAGGGGTCACAGGCCGGTGTGGACAGCCACAAGAATGTCCCGGAGAGGGAGGAGCCCACGGAGGAACCACACTTTAGGGGAAAGTATTTGCAATGAAAAGGTTTTCCCGAGAATGACAGTAACATGTGCCTGTGATGGAAAACTTGGATAATGCAGAGAAGGGAACAGGAGTGACCAACCCACAGACCCTGTCCCAGGTCCCAGCCCTGCTGAGCTCAGTGTTGGGTCCCAGGAGGAGCAGAGGCGGCCAGGGGGTGGGGCGGGGGCGGGGCCAGTGGAGAGCTGAGACTGGCCCCTGAAGGTTGGTGGAAAGAGCAAGAGTTGGGGGGCCCCGGGAGAGCGGCTGAGCCGAGCCCCTTCCTTCCCACTCCTACCCCGAATCTCCCAGCTGCGTACCTCGCAGGGCACATGTGGGGTTTGCATCTGCGGGTGGAGGGGGTGCCTTGGAAACTATAAAGTGCTGCCTCACCATGTCACTGAAGAACTTGACGCCCAGGGAAGTCAAGTGGCATTTTTAAGGTCTCAAATGGCAGAACTTGTGTGGGGTTTTGATTCTGTAAAATGGGAATCAAGACTGGGGGTGCAGGGTGGGGCCCCCGCTTGTCCTTAACCCCCCTTCCCCACCCCAGGCCACCTGGTGGACGCGCTGAAGAGCTACGAGGTCATCTTCTACCTGGCGGGCTCCGAGGTGGTCCTGGCCGGGCTCTTCATGGCTGTGGCCACCAACTGCTGCCTGCGCCGCGCTCAGGACGCCCCGCCCCGCCCCGGCACCGAGGGCGGGGCCAGCGACTCGGAGGACGCTGAGGCCGAAGGGGACTCCGAGCCCCTGCCCACCCCGGAGCCCGGTGTCCCTGAGGCTCTGGAGTTGCTCAGCCCTGGGGCTGGGCCCTCAGAACCCGAGGTGGAGGCAGAACCAGAGCCAGAGCCAGGGCTGGACCCGGAGTCTGTGTAGCGCAGAGGCGTGGGGTGGAGAGCTAGTGACTGCAGACACAGGGCTTCCCTGGCCGAGAGAGGCTGCTCAGGGTGGTCACCCTGGGGATCAGGTGCAAGCTTCCTCCCTGTCTGCCCCGCGAGCCATGGCCGGCCCTGCCCCTGCTCAGTGAAGCTTTTGAGCCCAAATGGGCCTGAGCGCTGTGAAACTCAAGTTCATAAAGCTCAGCGGAAAGACAGGTTCTGTTCCTGCGCCTCCGCTGTGGCTGTGGCTCTGGCTTCGACCTGGGGAGGGGCGGGTAGGATGGGACAGAGATGGGGGAAGGTGTTCCCAGACTGAGGCCTGGGGTGGGCCTGGCCCTGGGCTCCCACCAGCCCCAGCCCTGCCCACTGGCAGCACCTGCCACTGGAGCGTGGGGGCTGCTTGTGGAGGGGGACCCAGAACCTCTGAGAAAGAGCAGCGTCAAGGACGGGGTGAGGCCTGGCGCTGAGGCTGGCAGCGACCCATCCTGTGGTCGCCTGGGGCGTGGGGCCAGCACTACCCTGCTGCCTCCTGCCAGGCGTCTTCCCCTCCCCTTTGAGAGGGCCCCTCTCTCTAGGATGCAAACTCGGGTGTCCTGGGGCCTTTGTCTCGGACACAGGTCCCTGCGGGCACCAAAGGGCTGCCCCTGAGGGCTGCCCCTGGCGCCTGCTTCCCGAATGGGCGTCCCGGGAGGTCTCCTGCACCTGCGGTTTCCCCACCTCCACCCCCAAGAACAATGGTTCCCTCTCATTTTAACAAACACAGAGAGCAGACTGTGCCAGGCCCCGTCCCAAACCCTTAACTGGACTCATCTAGTCCTCTGAACAGCCCAACAAGGCAGGTGCCAGCATTAGCCGTATCACAGAGAGGGAAACCAAGGCACAGGGAAGTTAGGGGGAACCCAGCATCACAGAGGCCGACTGAACCCCAGGCTGCCAGTTCGTTTGTGCCCTTGGCCTCGCTGGCTGCCCCTTCAAAGGTGGTGCCGTCTGACAGCTCTAGGGACCCACATGGACCTGGTGACAGCCCGTCCCTCCCTCCTGCTCCCAACCTGCTGGCAACCCCCTGCAGGTCTCCACCCCGTGGGTCACTGTCCTGCAGGGGCACTCTGACAGGGACAGGGCCGCTATCAGTAACCATACTGGCACCGCATGGGCACTGGCTGTCCAGGTGAGGCAGGACACATGGCCACCCCGTTTCTACCGCCCCCCGCCCCCCAACAAAGACACAGGGTGCTCTGCGCATCTCCTCTGGGCTCCTCCCAGGGCCTCAGAAGGGAGCACCTGGAGTGGCCCGGCACCCTGAACGTGCTCCTGTTTGGGGCCTCAGGGCCTCCTGACCGAGCGTCTGTCCTGCCCATCCCCAAACAAAGGTTGAGTTCGAGGCAGAGCCCTGAAGGATCAAGGTGAGGGCGGGTGTGACGGGCGCCACACACCAGCGAGCCTAGCAGGCAGGGGAACCGTCTTTTGGACAGAACAGAGCTGCGTCGATCCCACTGTCTGTCCAGTGTGGCCTCAGCAGGAGTCCCCTCTGTGAACAGGGACCGCGGTGCTGCCGGCAGTACTGCTGTGAGGACAAGGCACGTGAGGCCCATGAAGGGAAGGGCCGTCACCCTTGTTGCCCACCCGCCTCGCGATCAGGCGATAAGAGGGGAGCGGAGAGAGGCAGGTCTAAGGCCGCTGCAGAGCCTGGCTCCATCTGGATTTGTTTATTCAGTACAGGCCCAGCGCCCAGCCCTCCCCCGGGAAGTGGCTGAGCTGGGGAATAAAATAAATAAAGGCCGCCGAGGTGTGCGTGTGACGGGGCTGGGCCAGCCTGGGGAGGCGAGGTGTGCTCGAGACATGGGCCCGGCCTCGGCTGTCCACCCCCAGCCCCCACTCCAACGGAGGTGCCCACAGGAATGGGCCCTGGACCGCCTGCCACTGCCCACCCCTCTTCCCTTCTGCCCTCTCGCCTTCCTGGATCAGGTCCAGAGACCGAGCTCTCCTGGCTGGGGCGATGGGAAGGAGGGGGGGCCCAGTGTCCAGGCCCGAGGTCGCAGCCTGTGGCCTGGCCTGGGGGGCCCAGGTTCGCTGTGCAAGGACAGAGGAGCAGGGAGGCAGGCGCCCCAAGCCAGCAGGCCTTTATGCGCCACCCTGTTGCGTGGCGGCCCAGCCCCCGCTCCCACGCTCTCGTCCTCCCACTCACCCTACCCCCCAAATCCGCACCCCACAGCGGGCGCACTCAGGAGTCACACCAGCTCCCACCCTTGTCCAGGGGCCCGGCAGCCCCTCGCGCATCCCTGGACGGCTCCCTGGCTGCCGTGTCCTCGTCGTCTTCCTCCTCGTCCTCCCCGTCAGTGAACTCGTCCTGGCCGGGGCCGTAGGCCAGCGTGGTGTGGGCCAGGTCCACCTCGATGGGGAAGACGTCAGCGTCACGCAGCACGGCGTAGCAGTCGTTGTAGTACTTGGACATGGTGGACACGAAGCGCTGCAGCTGGAACACGATGTCCTGGACTGGGCAGGAGAGCGGGTGGCGAGGCACCAGTGGGCCGGCTGCCTGCCTTGTGGACTGGGCCCTCCAAGCCTGCCTGGGCCCGCTCCCTGCCCTGGGCTTCCCATCGTGCACCTCCTGGGCCTGCACAGTACCCAGGTCTCAGGCTCCCACTGAGGGAACAGAGGAGCCCTGCCAGGGCGGGTGGGTGTGGACTGCACCCCAGGGAGTCCAGTCCCACCCAGTCCAGGCTCTGGGAGGTGGGTGTGCCCCTGCCAGCTCTCCCTCTTGGGTCTGACAAAGCACTGCATGGCAGGGCCTGGCCCTGGGACGTCACGTTAAAATGTTCCCTTCTGGGCCTCAGTTTTCCCAGCTCTGAAATGGGGAGAAGATGGTATCCACTCACCACAACGAGGATGGTGTGTGGACTGGCTGAGGGAGGACATGACCCTTGGGCCCCCGATCCCCACCAGGCCCCTCACCATGCTTCTGGTCCAGCAGCTCCATCTTCTCCAGCACGTCCTTGCGCATCTGGGAGAAGCGGGCGCGGGCCTCCTGGCGGCAGCGCAGGATCAGGCGGTATTCGTAGTTGCCTGTGCTGACCCGGTACAGGGGCTCCCCGAGGGCCTGGGGTGGGGAGGGGCACATCAGGGACCTGGGTGGGGCGGGATCTGCTCTGGGGCAGACGGGGCAGGGGGCACCACATGGCACCTTTCAAAGCTACCAGGGCTCCTCACTTCTGAGATGCCAGGGATTTTGAGAAGCACTTAGTTACAGCTTCATGAGAAACAAAACAAACCCTTGCCTCGTTAAATAAATGAACACTTAGTTATAAGATAGATCCTGGTATCAAAAATATTACAGATTCAGCCCTAACCGGTTTGGCTCAGTGGAAAGAGCATCGGCCTGCGGACTAAAGGGTCCCAGGTTCGATTCCGGTCAAGGGCATGTACCTTGGTTGTGGGCACATCCCCAGTAGGGGGTGTGCAGGAGGCAGCTGATCGATATTTCTCTCATCAATGTTTCTAACTCTCTATTCCAGGGGTCCTCAAACTTTTTAAACAGGGGGCCAGTTCACTGTCCCTCAGACCGTTGGAGGGCCGGACTATAGTTTAAAAAAAAACTATGAACAAATTCCTATGCACACTGCACATATCTTATTTTGAAGTAAAAAAACAAAACGGGAACAAATACAGTATTTGTATTTGCATGTGGCCCACAGGCCGTAGTTTGAGGACCCCTGCTCTATTCCTTCTCCCTTCCTCTCTGTAAAAAATCAATAAAATATATTTTTAAAAGTTATTACAGATTTAAAAAATAAAAAAGGCCTCTCAGGAGTGTAGAAAGCCCCCTTTTCCCTGCAAGAACCTCACACAGTCAGGGCAGGGAGGGGGGCGGGGAGTGGGCACAGGGGACGGTCCCACAGCAAGCCTGCCAGAGGGCCCGGGGTGGGGGGTAGCCCCACGTCTCCAGGAATAAGAGCCCGGCCAAGCCCCCAGGCCTCTCCCAGGCTGGCCTGACCCACCCGGTGTCCTGACAGACCCAGGGCATTCTTGGGGCTCTGTGAGGCAGGCAGGGAAGGCTGGGCACCCCGACCCCGTGACACTCACAATGCAGCTGTATTCCTCGTCGTCCATCTCCTTCACCTTCAGGCAATATGACTGCGTAGGACAGGTGAAGCCAGGCTGTCAGAGTGGCCGCACCTCCTGGATGCCCACCCCGACGTCCCCAGTGCCACATGCCACACTGCCCCTAGGCCACCCAGGGGAGCAGCTCTGCCAGGCTCCTGGGCCTGCAGGCTCCTGGCTGGGACAGGCTGGGCACCAGGGAAGCTGGCAGCAGTGCTTCGGGGGACAGGGATGCAGCCCCTCACGCAGGCTGAGCCTTGCGGGGTGGTCCCTGATGGCAGCACAGGGGAGGGCACCCATCTGGGAGGGTGGGAAGGGCCTGAGAGGCAGCCCACTATTTACCAAACTCAGGTCCCACGGGATGCTCTGGGGAAGGTTCCGTGCGAAGCAGCTGGGGAGACCCGCAGACTCACGCTGCTCATGGCCTGCCAGAGGCTCCCGTAACGGAGGAACCCGCTCGCTTAATGCAGCCTTTTCCCTCGACTCCGCAGGACCACAGAGTCACCATTAAACATAACACCATTAACACCCCTTGGTAACCACTTTATAAACACGGACCTCGTCTAACCCATTATTAAAAGTGACCAAAGAGCCAGAGGTCCAGAGTGAGGGCCCTGCCAAGGTCCCAGCCCCTCCCCAGGCCCTGTCCACCTCCTGCATCACACTCGACAGGCTCCAGCCCCGCCCTCCCCGGAGGCTGCAGACCACTCACCAGGTACTCAAACTTCACGTCCAGGTACTTCTTGATGGTGAGGCGGGTGTCTGGGATGGCTTTGTTGAGGTACGTGTTCAGATCCGTCAGCATCTGGAAGGAAGGGGAGAGTGGGCCGATGCTGAGGCCCCCACAGGCAGGGGTCAGAGTGGCCAGGGCGACAGAGAATGGCACTGACGCGCCAGCCTTCCGGTGACTCAGAATGTCAGAGCCACCGGGCGCTGCTAGATCGTCTTGTCCATTTCAAGGATGAGAAGCCAGGCCAGGCCAGGGCAGCTGAGACTCCACGGGGGAGCGAGGGCCACAAACCACCTGGAGGTCAACCTTGGCCGAGGCCACGGTGCTCGACGCCAACTGCATGACCCACCCCCCTGCTCTGCCCTCACACAGGCGCCCACGTGACCTACCGGCTTGATGGTTTTCAGCAGCCGGATGCCAAACTTCTCGATGCTGCGGTGGGCGTCCGCAAACTTCACAAAAGCCTCGCTCGCAGCCGGCTGGGGCTCCCGCACGCCAATCACAGAGAACACGTCTCCAAAGGCTGCAAGACAAGTGTGCCCTGAAGGCTGCCCTGACCTGGCCCTTAATGGAGAAGCCAGGGATTTGTGGGGGAGGGGCAAGGAGGGGCATGGCAGGCTGGGGGCCAAGGTCTGCACGGGGCCTACACCCCAAGAAAGGCGTGTCTACACCCCGAGGGAGCTGGTCTACACCCCTAAAGTAGGGATGGGGAACGTCCAGCCTGCAGGCCATATAAGGCCCGGGAGACCATCCGGTCTGGCCCTGCCAAGGCATTAGGGGTGAGTTAATTAACTGTCTGACCAAATAGGGCAGCTGACTTTTTTCATCAGCACAGACGGACCGATGGGGCTCGGACAGGTGACCGTGCCCACAGGGACCAGCAGCTGGTCAAGGTGCCCCCAGCGTTGCTCCTTCCAGCACCTGGACGTGCCGCTAGAGCTGGCCCTGGCCGGTGCTGTGATGTCTGCCTGAGCACGGGCATGAGGACCAGGGACAGCAGCCACACCTTCACTTATGGGGACACTGAGCCCAGAGGGGGGCAGGGGTTTGCCTGCGGTCATGCAGCTCGTTTGGGGGCACCTTACCCCGGTGCGTCTGCGACAGCTCATAGAAGGCCCGCAGGAGGGTCTTGGTGTGCTCTGTCATCCCTGTGGGAGAGGCCACACGAGGGGGGGGGCATGTGACGGGGGCGACCCTGGCCCAGGACATGGCCTCCAGTCCACCCCACCGAGGCCTGCACTGCTCCTGAGTGCACCCACTTTTCCCACAGCCCCCCCCCAGACCCAGCACGAGATGCCCCTGTTGACGGAGCCAGGACAGGGCAGGAGTGGGCGCGCCTCCTATGGGCTTTCTCTCTGGAGAGCATGCCGTTCTGGGGGCCTTCGCTACGTTTACACGCGCTTTCACTTGAATGCTTATGTGTATATACTACTTTTATAACCAGAAAGTGTCTTAAGACTTTTTAAAAAGAATTGTTAATGGCCACGGTCCTAGAACTTTCCGGCTGGCATTCCTACCCCCCACCCCCGCCACCGTCTTTGGAGCAGGCCTCTGGGACTCCGGCCAGCGCTGCCCACCTTTATAGAGCTCAGCCGTCCGCTCCAGCTCCTCCAGTCTCTTGACAAGCCCATCTGTGGGGATCAGAGAGAAGGGGGTGGGGGTCAGGGGTCTCAGCGAGCAATGGGGGGAGGGCAGAGGCAACCCGGAGGACAAGCAGGATCGGCACAGAACGGGGTCCTTGGGGGAGATTTGGCACCTCAGGGTCAGCTGGGTTCAGAGGTGTTAAACAGCTCAGAACACCCAGATGAGAGGCAGGGCTGGCCCCCCAAACACTCCTAAGACAAGCCCCCGCCCAGAAGGCCAGGGCACATGGAAGGGGCAGATGGGTGATAACACAGGTGCTTCCAAAAGGCATGTGAGAGACGGTCGGCGTCCCCCAAGGCCAGCCTAGCAGCCACGGCGCCCATCCTGCTAACACGGGCTGCACTGCCCACGGCCAAGGAGGAAGGCCGTCGGGGACAAGTGGGAGAGACCAGTGGACCGACAATCGGTGTAACCAGGCTCCATGTGGCTCCCAGCACCGAGCAAACGTGACAGCTCAGAGGGGGAGCGATCTGGGGAGCAGGAGGAATTCTGGAAGCGCTAGGGCTGAGGGAGAGCTCCCGTTAGATGGGGCCTTGAGCTTCACCTTTGTGTTTATCCAGCACCTACTGTGTGCAGACACCAGGCTAGGCTGCAGGAATGACTGGGTGAATGAGATCTGAGTCATGCCCTTGAGGCTCACAGTCTAGTGGAGGAGCAGACAATGGCCAGCCGCTGCCTGGCAGTGACAGGGCTGCAAGGGGAGGGGTGGGAAGGGGGCAGCTGCCTCATTCCAGGAGCTGGAAATGGGGGCTGTGGATTGCCAGGGCTGAGCAGCCTTTCAGATTAGAGAGGGACGGGCAGGGAGCTACCAGACAAGCTCAGGGCAGGGCAGTGAGGAGCGGTACCGTGTGGGGCTTTCTCTAGCCATGGGTGCCACCCTCCACTCCGATAGGATGAGGCCTGCACACCCCCCCTCCCCCCAGCGCCAGCAGCAACTGCAGACCAGGGGCCCTGTCGGTGGCTTGCTGCCCCCCTCAGCCCGCCCCTCCAGGCCCCCAGGCAGGGTCGGGCCTTCCTGAGTTACTCTGCTGTGAGCAAGGCTCCCTGCACCCCTCAGTCCTCCTTCCACATGCGCCTTTGGGGCAGGGACTACTTCCCTCATCCCCCCTTTTTATACTTCCCTCATTTCATTACAAAAACAACGGGGGACAGAGAGGTAAAGCCACTGGTCAAAGGCACAGGGGGGCTGTCCGAGCTGGTGTACTCTGCCTGCCCCTGTGCTGGCCTGGAGGGAGCAGCAGGGGCCGCCCGGCCTTTCTCTGGACAGGGAAGGCGGCTGTGGGAGACTTCAGGGGAGGAAGGCTGGGCTCAGGGGGACGGAGGGGGCAGCCTGGAGGTCTTCACGAGGCGCTGGCCCCTGGCTGGCTCCCCAGAGCCTTGGCCCCAGGCCAGCCTGGCGGGAAAGGAGCACGTAAGCCTGCTGTTGCTTTTAGCTGGGTCATGGGACATCATGACAGCTTCAATTTTAGAAACACTATTTCAGGCCGGGAAATTGCAAGGTTCAGGGGGAAAAACACAACAATCAGTTCTAATTCCATCTCGACGCCTGGTAACTACAGTAACGGGGATTTATAGACACCGAGAGGCCGGAAATAGCAGCCTCCACTCTGAACGCCACTTGGAACAGGCTCAGACCCCACCCCCACGCCCAGCCAATGAAGGCCAGCGCGCCCAGCTGAGCCCACCGTTCCTATAGGTATTTATATCCACCACGGCCAGCAGAGCTGCTGCTGTTTATAAACTCAGGCGGATGACGGAGGAACAGGTCCAAGTGCCTCGCTGGCCACCCTGGGGGGAGCGTGTGCACACGCGTGTGGGTGTGAATGTGCGTGTACATGGCGTTCTCCCTCCAGGCAGCCGCCTCCAGCCCAGGCAGGGCCCGCAGCGCCGGCTGAGACAGGGCAGCAGCGCCACCTCCTGGAGAAGGCCGGGCGGGGAGGGCGGTGCGGGAGCAGTAGGCGTGCTAGAGCAAGGGGGTGAGGGGGGCACAAGGGGCAGGGGCGGCGCTGAGCCCTGGTTCTGTGAGAGCAGCTGGGCAGTGGCGGGGGTAACAGCTCGGGAACCGGGAACCGGAAGAGGCACCTCCCCGCTGTGCTGTCTCCTCACGGGAGCTGCGCCTGTGCGTCCTCACCTGACCACCGGGGACGCTCTTTGGGAGCTGGAGCGCCTCCGGGGATAGAGAGGCGACTATCAGCCCCAGGGGTAGAGGCCAGGCCCGAGGGACCCACAGTGGCTGGGTGGCAGCCACGATGCCGCTGCCCCTGGGAGCCTGGGCCCGGACCGAGCTGGAGCTGGTGTGAGGGAGGGACTCACCATTGCACAGGATGGCCCGGCTCAGCCCAGGGAGCTGGTGTGAGGGAGGGACTCACCATTGCACAGGATGGCCCGGCTCAGGCCAGGG